CTGTCATGGGTCCCTGTACGGCCTCCCATTGCTGCAGTCTCCATCGCCACACTCTGCCATGTGCCACTTTCAGGTCTCCTCACACTGCTGTGGTGGGTTCCATTTTTGTCATAGGGTGCTGTATGGCCTCCCATTTTGCTGCTGCCCCTCCACCGCCACACTGGTGGCTCCACACTCTGGTTTTGGCCCCGTGACTGCCCAAATGAGTGAAGTGCGCGGTGATTCCTAAGATCGACGGCACTCATCTGCATGTCATACTGACTGACAGTATTATTTCTCTTCCCCAGCAGACTCCAAGGGCATTTAAATTAAAGGTACAGTGTTCTGCACTAATAAAGGCTTCACTGAAGACCAAGTAAAACACCCTTTTTATAAGTTAAATTCGCAGCGAATATATTCGGCTCGAAGCGAATTTATTCGGCGAATTTGGCGAATCAGCCGAAACCGAATTTTTGAATAATTCCGCTCATCATCTCTAATCACTACCTTAAACTCAATCTTTTCAAAAACTGAGCTTGAAATATTCCTCCTCCTCCCCGAATCCCCCCACTCACAACCTTACCATTAAGGATCAACAGCACACAACCATTGGTCCTTCCCCTCATGCCAAGGTGCTAGCCTAATCCTAAACTCTGACCTCTCCTTTGGGCCCCACATCCACTCACTGGCTAAATCCTGCTGTCCTCAACCCTCCGGAACATTTCCAAAATCCTGCCCTTCCTGACCAATGACACCACAAAACAACTATATCCATGCCTTGGTTATAAAACCTTGCCTCAATTAATGCAACTCCCTCCTCACTGGTCTACCGCTACACAGGCATATCCCCCCTTCAGTCTATTATGGAATGCTGCTGCTACGGACTGGGTGGGGGGGGGGAAAAAACACCTTACCTTACCAACCGATCAGCGACTGCTGCCCCTCTCTGCCAATCCCTCCACTGGCCTTCTACTAACCCAACGTATAAAATTCAAAATACTAACCACAGCTTAACAAAGCCATCCACAACACTGCCCCTAGCTACACTCACCAACTTCATCCACAGATACCGCCCAAATCGCCCACGGATCCGCTCCTCCCACCCATGATATATCCTCCTCTCTCTCCACCTAAGAACTGTATTTGAATCACCTCCGCCAGATCATCCCCCGCAGCTATCACGTTTTGTATCATCTCCCCTTTCCTTTAGATTGTAAGCTCCACGAGCAGGGCCTTCCTATTCCTTCTGTACTGAAATGTATTGTAATTGTACTGTCACCCTTATATTGTAAAGCGCTGCGCAAACTGTTGGCGCTATATAAATCCTGTATAATAATAATAATAATCTACTGCATATAACTGCAAGCATCCTAATGCAAGAGCAGCACAATAAAATAAAACTGCCCTCAACATAGATGCCTGCAATTTGAACATGAGAATAATAAGGGTCATATTTCAATTATTTCAGAAAAAGATTAGCATCCATTCTTTTATTTAAACCAAAAGGGACCCCAGTATTGAGTGTATTGTCTACATGTGTGGTATGGTACCGAGAGGCTTAAGGATTAAAACATTTCCATCAAAGGTATATTCTTATTCCTTTCTTAAGGAATGGAATGATATCCTTTCCCAATGTTCTACAAACCTCATGCAACTCATTCTGACATAAGAAGAGAAGTTATTGCTTGAGGTGAATCAGAACACAACACAATTGAAGAAATCGGTTGCACAACATCGCATGCTTGCTGTGTCTGGGGATCTAACGAGGACCTTATATCCAACATCAAAAATCTGGAATTAGAGATAATGGAAAAAAAGGTCTAAATATCTACGGGATTTAAATGATTATGAAGAAAGAACCATATATGTGTTTAAAAATAGAAGATTTCCACACTCAATATTGAAGAAAAAGACTTTAGGATCAACATCTGACAAAAGGGTTAATTTCAGTTCACCTGAAGCCTCGGACACCCAATCTGAACTGTCGGATACAGCTGAATCAAGGTCTCCTTATACCTCCAGGAGTTTGGTGGGGTCTGTTTTTTCCAGAGAAGTTTCTCCAGAGCCACCCGGCCAGCTTTCTTAAACAAAGTCCAGAAAGCAATTGGAAAAGGAAACAAAAGGACAAGACAGGGGAGAACATGCTGGCAAAACAGGATACAGAAAATACCCGAAACGCAAAAAGAAAACCAAGGAATAGGTACTACCAATGTTGTTAATTTATCATCTACACCATTATCTGATCATGAACTTTCCCTTTTGTCTAAAGGACTATCCTTTGCGCCAACGTGTCAATTTGATGTCTTTTCTACTTTGTTAGATATCAATCGGTTCGTGAGAATACTTATGTTGAGAAAACATTTTAATGAAACCGAAATCAATACAGATAACACACCACATACTGTGCAGTCTGAAGACACTGTACTATCATCTTTTTCTTTTGAGCATTTGTTCATGGTTTCCACTTTGGATAGCCTTCAGTCAGAGGTCTGGTATAGGTCAATGTGGCATTGACAAAAGCACTGTTGCTACAGGAGATAGATATTTCTATCCTGTCCAGGCTCGGAGTGAGGCAGTGGATTAATTCCAACATATTTTAGAAGTGGAAAATGAACACATTGAAGAAGTCCCTGAAATCAATAAACCATCATGGTAAAATTGAATTTAAATAAAGATGAATATATAGCTCTTAAGAAATTAAAAATCAAGAACTTAGAAGCTTTAAAGCAGCTCAATGACACAAGCACTTATCTGTCCTTGATAGTAATCTTACCCTCCTTTTTTTTTAAAGAGAAATTGCAACATCTACAGGACACAGGTAAAGAAATGGAAGTTTTACCAAAAAAATGATGGACTTTTTGATGGTTGATAATCCAATCACTCCAATTTTCCACCATCTCCCAAAGATACACAAATACTTACCCTTGTCCAGGAACGTCCTATAGTGGCAGTAGAGATGAGCGAATTTCTCAAAAATTCGATTCGGCTGATTCGGCGAATTCCAGTGTGAAATTCGATTCGATGCGAATTTCTTCGCTACGAAGATGACTTATAAAAAGGGTTTCTAGGCTTCAGAGAGCCTTTAAATTAGTGCAGAACACTGTACCTTTAATTTAAATGCCCTTGGAGATGAGGAAGGAGAAGGAGAAGGAGAAGGATGAGAAGAAGGAGAAGGAGAAGGATGAGAAGAAGGAGAAGGAGAAGGATGAGAAGAAGGAGAAGGAGAAGGATGAGAAGAAGGAGAAGGATGAGAAGAAGGAGGAGAAGAAGGAGAAGGATGAGAAGAAGGAGAAGGATGAGAAGAAGGAGAAGGATGAGAAGAAGGAGAAGGATGAGAAGATGGAGAAGGATGAGAAGAAGGAGAAGGAGAAGGAGAAGGATGAAAAGAAGGAGAAGGAGAAGGATGAGAAGAAGGAGAAGGAGAGAAGGATGAGAAGAAGGAGAAGGATGAGAAGAAGGAGAAGGATGAGAAGAAGGAAGAAGGATGAGAAGAAGGAGAAGGATGAGAAGAAGGAGAAGGATGAGAAGAAGGAGAAGGAGAAGGATGAGAAAAAGGAGAAGGAGAAGGATGAGAAGAAGGAGAAGGATGAGAAGAAGGAGAAGGATGAGAAGAAGGAGAAGGAGAAGGATGAGAAGAAGGAGAAGGAGAAGGATGAGAAGATGGAGAAGGAGAAGGATGAGAAGAAGGAGAAGGAGAAGGATGAGAAAGAGGAGAAGGAGAAGGATGAGAAGATGGAGAAGGATGAAAGAAGAAGGAGAAGGATGAGAAGAAGGAGAAGGAGAAGGATGAGAAGAAGGAGAAGGAGAAGGATGAGGAGAAGGAGAAGGATGAGGAGAAGGAGAAGGATGAGAAGAAGGAGAAGGATGAGAAGAAGGAGAAGGATGAGAAGAAGGAGAAGGATGAGAAGAAGGAGAAGGATGAAGAAGAAGGAGAAGGAGAAGGAGGAGAAGCAGAAGGAGAAGGATGAGAAGAAGGAAAAGGAGAAGGATGAGAAGATGGAGAAGGAGAAGGATGAGAAGAAGGAGAAGGAGAAGGATGAGAAGAAGGAGAAGGAGAAGGATGAGAAGAAGGAGAAGGATGAGAAGAAGGATGAAAGAAGGAGAAGGATGAGAAGAAGGAGAAGGAGAAGGATGAGAAGAAGGAGAAGGATGAGAAGAAGGAGAAGGATGAGAAGAAGGATGAGAAGAAGGATGAGAAAAAGAGAAGGATGAGAAGAAGACAGTTCTGTGACAGTTTCTGTCTATTTCTGACAGTTCTGGGACATTCACTCCATACAGCGGTTTTCAACCGCTGTATGGAGGGAATGTCATAGAACTGTCAGAATAGAATATTTTATGACAGTTCTGGGACATTCCTTCCATACAGCGGTTGAAACATTGTATCTATTTGTTTCCATAAATGGATCCATTTATGGAAACAAATAGATACAATGTTTCAACCGCTGTATGGAAGGACAGTCCCAGAACTGTCATTAATAGTCTATTTGACAGTTCTATGACATTCCCTCCATACAGCGGTTGAAAACAGCTGTATGGAGTGAATGTCCCAGACTGTCAGAAATAGACTATTTATGACAGTTCTGGGACATTCACTCCATACAGCGGTTGAAACATTGTATCTATTTTTTTCCATAAATGACATTCTGCAAATACACTTAGAGGAGCGCTGCAGATACACTTTTTGCCGGCTTGGAATTAATCTTATTTTCATCCTACTTCTTCTTCTTCATCCTCATCCCTCATAAGAAGAAAAAGAAGAATTTAGGATGAAAATAAGAATAATTCCAAGCCGGCAAAAAGTGAATCTGCAGCGCTCCTCTAAGTGTATTTGCAGAAATGTCATTTATGGAAAAAAATAGATACAATGTTTCAACCGCTGTATGGAAGGACAGTCCCCAGAACTGTCAGAAATAGTCTATTTAAGACTGACAGTTCTGGGACATTCACTCCATACAGCTGTTTCAAACCGCTGTATGGAGGGAATGTCATAGAACTGTCAAAAATAGACTATTAATGACAGTTCTGGGACTGTCCTTCCATACAGCGGTTGAAACATTGTATCTATTTGTTTCCATAAATGGATCCATTTATGGAAACAAATAGATACAATGTTTTCAACCGCTGTATGGAAGGACAGTCCCAGAACTGTCATTAATAGTCTATTTCTGACAGTTCTAATGACATTCCCCTCCATACAGCGGTTGAAACAGCTGTATGGAGTGAATGTCCCAGAACTGTCAGAAATAGTCTATTTTCTGACAGTTCTGGGACATTCCCTCCATACAGAGCGTTTCCGGCAAAAAGTGTATGTGCCGATTCCTCTATTCTGCAGATACATTTAGAGGAGCTCTGCAGATACACTTAGAGGAGCTCTGCACAAACACTTTTTGCCGGCTTGGAATTATTCTTATTTTCATCCTACTTCTTCTTCTTCTTCTTCTTCATCCTCATCCTCTTCTTCTTCTGAGGATGAGGATGAGGATGAAGAAGAAGAAGACGAAGAAGAAAGAAGAATAGGATGAAAATAAGATTAATTCCAAGCCGGCAAAAAGTGTATGTGCAGAGCTCCTCTAAAGGTGTATCTGCAGAGCTCCTCTAAGTGTATCTGCAGAATAGAGGAACTCTGCACATACACTTTTTGCCCGGCTTGCAATTATTACTTATTTTCATCCTACTTCTTCTTCTTCTTCTTCTCATCCTCATCCTCTTCTTCTTCTTCTGAGGATGAGGATGATGAAGAAGAAGAAGAAGTAGGATGAAAATAAGAATTAATTCCAAGCCGGCAAAAAGTGTATGTGCAGAGCTCCTCTAAGTGTATCTGCAGAGCTCCTCTAAGTGTATCTGCAGAATAGAGGAACTCTGCACATACACTTTTTGCCGGCTTGCAATTATTCTTATTTTCATCCTACTTCTTTCTTCTTCTTCTTCTTCTCTTCATCCTCATTCTTCTTCTCTGAAGGATGAAGGATGAGGATGAAGAAGAAGAAGAAGAAGAAGTAGGATGAAAATAAGAATTAATTCCAAACAGGCAAAAAGTGTATGTGCAGAGCTCCTCTAATGTATCTGCAGAGCTCCTCCTAAGTGTATCTGCAGAATAGAGGACTCTGCACATACACTAGCCCCCATTTTTTGCCGGCTTGGAATTATTCATCTTTTCATCCTACTTCTTCATCTTCTTCTTCATCCTCATCCTCATCCTCAGAAGAAGAGGATGAGGATGAGGATGAAGAAGAAGAAGAAGAAGAAGAAGAAGTAGGATGAAAAGAAGAATAATTCACAAGCCGGCAAAAAGTGTATGTGCAGAGTTCCCTCTATTTCTGACAGTTTACTCTGACAGCTTTTCTTCACATGTACAGCGGTTGAAACATCTGTATCCTAAATGGAAACTAATAGATACAAATTGTATCTATTAGTTTCCAACAGTGAATCACCACACATGACCAAATTAACAATAAGTAAGACCATACTTGTAAGTCTGAGAAGATTAAACAAAACCTTGGGGAGAATGATAAGCCAACAGAGACTTCTCAAACGAAGGCTACAAGGAATCCCTCCCCAGCAGTCAGTATCCAGAGGAGTCTAATTACTAAAATAAACTGGCTGCTGGGAGACACGAATCCTGACAGTGCAACTTCCTTGAGAAGCTGCCTTTGGATGCTTCACCTTGCTTTAAACCTGAAAGTCCATGTGGGTGCAAGGTAAGTCCAAAAAGGTTTCCTCCCATCAGTGTCTGGGAACTCTTTTGATCGCTATAGGCTAAATCCATTAAGAGATTAACCTGCTAGTGGCATGCCCCCCATCAGTTTGTAACTGGATATGGGCCCCACTGATGCCAGGATCTGAAAGCTGACTGGGTACCACCACCACCGGGGTCTGAAAAGCTGGCTGGGTTTAATCGACGGCCAGCTCCCTGAAGAGGCACAACATTTGGAGCTTTCAATTCCCAATGCAGCACGTGTTCCAGCACTAGGATTCCAAAGGCCACCTGAGAACTTAACCCTGGAATCTCTAGTCCATACAGGCACCCTGATGCTAGGGTGTCCCATTGCAACTTGACCTTTCACCTCTGGGTTGCTAGAAACTGCTTTGAACTGTGTAGTGACTTTTGGGGGACTAGTTATCAAAAACATAATTTCATTCCAACAGCAACAAGCCCAGCCGTATGTTATGTTAAGGGTTAACCTTTCTTGTTAGAATTCAAATGACCTTCTAGTGAAATTACACCCACACAATGAGTGGAGGGAACCTGTTCCCGAGACAATAGGTCATTTGAATTTCTACAGGTTGTTAAACAAGCCAAAAGACAGACAATCGTGAGAGCTTATGTTGGTGACTCTAATACTGGCAAAAGTATATATTATCAACAAGTGCTATTTGTCTATTGGAGTTGAGGAGATTACACCTACAAAAAGTTAATTAGAAAGTCAAATACAACGTTGGACTTCCAAACAGTGAATCACCACACATGACCAAATTAACAATAAGTAAGACCATACTTGTAAGTCTGAGAAGATTAAACAAAACCTTGGGGAGAGTGATAAGCCAACAGACTTCTCAAACGAAGGCTACAAGGATCCCTCCCCAGCAGTCAGTATCCAGAGGAGTCTAATTACTAAAATAAACTGGCTGCTGGGAGACACGAATCCTGACAGTGCAACTTCCTTGAGAATCTGCCTTTGGATGCTTCACCTTGCTTTAAACCTGAAAGTCCATGTGGGTGCAAGGTAAGTCCAAAAAGGTTTCCTCCCATCAGTGTCTGGGAACTCTTTTGATCGCTATAGGCTATAATCCATTAACCTGCTAGGTGGAATGCCCCCCCATCAGGTTTGGTAACTGGCTATGGGCCCCACTGCCAGGATCTGAAAGCTGACTGGGTACCCCACCACCGGGGTCTGAAAGCTGGCTGGGTTAATCGACGGCCAGCTCCCTGAAGAGGCACAACATTTGGAGCTTTCAATTCCCTAATGCAGCACGTGTTCCAGCACTAGGATTCCAAAGGCCACCTGAGAACTTAACCCTGGAATCTCTAGTCCATACAGGCACCCTGATGCTAGGGTGTCCCATTGCAACTTGACCTTTCACCTCTGGGTTGCTAGAAACTGCTTTGAACTGTGTAGTGACTTTTGGGGGACTAGTTATCAAAAACATAATTTCATTCCAACAGCAACAAGCCCAGCCGTATGTTAAGGGTTAACCTTTCTTGGTTAGAATTCAAATGACCTTCTAGTGAAATTACACCCACACAATGAGTGGAGGGAACCTGTTCCCGAGACAATAGGTCATTTGAATTTCTACAGGTTGTTAAACAAGCCAAAAGACAGACAATCGTGAGAGCTTATGTTGGTGACTCTAATACTGGCAAAAGTATATATTATCAACAAGTGCTATTTGTCTATTGGAGTTGAGGAGATTACACCTACAAAAAGTTAATTAGAAAGTCAAATACAACGTTGGACTTCCAAACAGTGAATCACCACACATGACCAAATTAACAATAAGTAAGACCATACTTGTAAGTCTGAGAAGATTAAACAAAACCTTGGGGAGAGTGATAAGCCAACAGACTTCTCAAACGAAGGCTACAAGGATCCCTCCCCAGCAGTCAGTATCCAGAGGAGTCTAATTACTAAAATAAACTGGCTGCTGGGAGACACGAATCCTGACAGTGCAACTTCCTTGAGAAGCTGCCTTTGGATGCTTCACCTTGCTTTAAACCTGAAAGTCCATGTGGGTGCAAGGTAAGTCCAAAAAGGTTTCCTCCCATCAGTGTCTGGGAACTCTTTTGATCGCTATAGGCTATAATCCATTAACCTGCTAGGTGGAATGCCCCCCCATCAGGTTTGGTAACTGGCTATGGGCCCCACTGCCAGGATCTGAAAGCTGACTGGGTACCCCACCACCGGGGTCTGAAAGCTGGCTGGGTTAATCGACGGCCAGCTCCCTGAAGAGGCACAACATTTGGAGCTTTCAATTCCCTAATGCAGCACGTGTTCCAACACTAGGATTCCAAAGGCCACCTGAGAACTTAACCCTGGAATCTCTAGTCCATACAGGCACCCTGATGCTAGGGTGTCCCATTGCAACTTGACCTTTCACCTCTGGGTTGCTAGAAACTGCTTTGAACTGTGTAGTGACTTTTGGGGGACTAGTTATCAAAAACATAATTTCATTCCAACAGCAACAAGCCCAGCCGTATGTTAAGGGTTAACCTTTCTTGGTTAGAATTCAAATGACCTTCTAGTGAAATTACACCCACACAATGATGGAGGGAACCTGTTCCCGAGACAATAGGTCATTTGAATTTCTACAGGTTGTTAAACAAGCCAAAAGACAGACAATCGTGAGAGCTTATGTTGGTGACTCTAATACTGGCAAAAGTATATATTATCAACAAGTGCTATTTGTCTATTGGAGTTGAGGAGATTACACCTACAAAAAGTTAATTAGAAAGTCAAATACAACGTTGGACTTCCAAACAGTGAATCACCACACATGACCAAATTAACAATAAGTAAGACCATACTTGTAAGTCTGAGAAGATTAAACAAAACCTTGGGGAGAGTGATAAGCCAACAGACTTCTCAAACGAAGGCTACAAGGATAACTGTTTTTTTTACCCTATTATCTTAACAATGGACAAGTAAACAGAGGTTTCCTGTGTCATTCCTAAGACCAAAAGGTGAAACTCCGAACTTATATTTCTACCCACAAAGACATTAAAGAAGAGACACATTATTCACACTCTTTTTCAAACAAAAATATATTCAGCAGAGTTGGGGATTGTGTATACCACTAAATTGAGTATGAAATGGTGAAAAGTAAGATATTTTGTGAATTGGTATCAGTTGTATGTTTCCATCAGAAAGCAAATGTTCACACAAGTTTGAATCTCAGGGAAATTAAAAACTGAATGCACACATATCTTTCTATGATTCCGATCTGAAACATTAGAGGTAGAATCAAAAATATTTTTTTTTGGATAAGATATATATTTAATACCTAAAATCACCTTGGGTTCCACCCGAGGTATGAGTCATCATAAATACTCAAATTGTTTTGTGATCCCTGACTGCCCCCCAGTGGACAGGTGAGAGATATCTTAGGTACATACACTTCTCGACCGGCCAATCAAAAAGCCTGTTGGGAGGGTCTTTTAGAACAATGGTTTGGATAGTATAAAAAAGCCATGCACCTCTTTTAAAAAAAACAAGCTGAGAAAAAAAAAAAACAAGCTGAGAGAAAACCAAGCTAACAAAAACAACACAGAAAAACCCAAGGAAACCGACAAGCTGAAGAAATCTGACGAGGCTGAAATCTATCCTATCTGAAGAACTACTACTTAATCCTTTCAAACTTTTAAAAAACTTTTACTAAACTTCTAAATCTCTGTACTTCTACCATCCTACATTTTTCCAACTTTACCACCTATTGCACTATCTCTCACTTGCCCCCTGCGGTCATCCCTGAAGGCGTTTCAATTGCCAGCTGAATCCACTGGGGAGGCGTCATAATCCAGGTTCTGGGTGTGGTGAGACCATTTAGATCTAATATTGTATTGTATATTTCCTCTGTTGCTTAGAGTGATAATAATTACATTAGACTGATAATAACTGCATTGGGTGTTCATATATAGATAGAGAGATCCATATTATTACTGCTAGAAATTGTTTGGTGTCATATTAAAAATTTACATATTGCATAAATAATTAATTTTTATTGG